ATGAAAATGCAGATAAAGAAAAGTTATCCTTTTACTACTTAAATATTGCAAGGGATTACTATTTAAGAATGCCCCTGGTCTGTAATCTGTTTGAGGTTTAAGGTAGTGTGGAAGGACAGTAAAGAGATTCTTCATAAAAAAGGGGGTGCCCTTCAGTATGAGAGGGAAGAAGTGTGGGGTAGCGCTTTCATCTTCTGAAAGCCTGCTAATTAAAACACTAACTAGAACAGGCACAGAGAGATTTGCTGCCCATGTGGTTTAACTCCCCTGTCTCCTGAGATTGGTGCTGGTGACGATTGTTCAACGTTAAGAGGAGGATGAGGGAATGGTATACAGATTAACAAATTGTTCAATTTAAAAATAAAATATATAAATAAAAAAACAGATAAACGTGGGAGGCAGGGAAGGGAAGGATTCTGTATGGCGAAGGGGTTTCAGCAAGAAAGGAAACCGCAGGAAAACGGGACGCTGGTGTGCTCCAAGAATCGTAAATTTCAGGGAATGGGATAGTGGTGGCGAGAATAGATCCGGGAAACAGTAAGAGTAGACTAGTAGTATCGCATTTCTTTGCATAGAGAAGCGCGGGATTTACAAATTTCAAATTAGCCAATGGAGCTTGGCTTCTTCTCATAAGCCAATCAGAGAGAAGATTTTTTTCTATAAATACCTCTAGAGCACCACACTCTTTTATTTGAAGTTGACAGAGAGTGCAGTTTCTGAAATGGCCAGGACCAAGCAGACCGCCCGTAAATCTACTGGTGGCAAAGCCCCTCGTAAGCAGCTGGCTACCAAAGCTGCTCGGAAGAGCGCGCCGGCCACCGGGGGAGTGAAAAAGCCTCATCGTTATCGGCCCGGCACTGTTGCCCTGCGGGAGATCCGCCGCTACCAGAAATCTACTGAGCTGCTCATTCGCAAGCTGCCCTTCCAGCGCCTGGTGCGTGAAATCGCCCAGGACTTCAAAACTGATTTGCGCTTTCAGAGCTCAGCTGTTATGGCCCTGCAGGAGGCGAGCGAAGCCTACTTGGTGGGGCTTTTTGAGGACACCAACCTGTGTGCTATTCACGCTAAAAGAGTCACCATCATGCCTAAAGACATCCAGTTAGCCCGGCGTATCCGGGGTGAGCGGGCTTAAAGGCTGCACTGCTGCATTCTGACTACTTGAATACTCCCAAATACTCCAAGGCTCTTTTAAGAGCCACTACATGAGCATTGAAAAGAGCTGTAACACGCCCATAACGTGTATCCTTTAATCACAAGACGTCACTGTTGCTGCTTATCTAAATTTAAAATTCTGACAGTAAGAAACCATCTAGGATGACTAGATTTTCAAAGTATGTGCTTGAGGTATCACACAACTTCCAATTAGGCTGCCTTAATTAAATTCTTAAATTTTTCTAGCCAAATTAATTGGTACTTTAGTGTGATGACCAAGGCAGTGCTTTTGTCTTTTATCTCTCTGTGTTTATTAATGTCCCCTTTCAAGATGTAATACATTTCACATTTGCAGAAGTTTGTATTTCATGTAAAAGTATATTTTATATAGCCAAATAAATATTGCCCCATTCCCTATTCAGCATTTAGCTTTAAAGATTGGTTTAATCAATAAGGTAAAATCACTGGTATGTCTTGTAGATAATACTCAAATTGTAAATAAGCAAATAAAGAAGGATGATATTCTATTCCAGAGCTCGAATTTAAGTGTGTATTTCACTTAGTGGATTATCTAGGGGTGTTCCTCTTGAAATCAGAATATTATACAGGAAAGGGCATGTGGGGGTAAAAATGGTAAGGATGGCCTGGGAGAAGCACACTTATCTGGGAAGCTGAGGAACACACAAATTAGACAGGCGTCTGTTTAAAGACACTAGTAATACAACAGTGTCTTTGTATCCAATACAATTTATAATGCAAATTACAGATGAACTGTGAAGAAGTCTAGGATAAAACCCAGAGGTAAAATTTTCAGACTGTCTAATGGAGGGGTTAAAAATAGGCTCCTGGCCAATAATAAATAATAATAAATAATTCATAATTAACCATTAAAAATGTGAACTATCACGCCTTGAAAAGTTCAAGGACCTTGATAAAATATGCATTACATAAACTGGGTGGAACGACTAAAAACAATGAGATACTGTAATTACTAGTTAAAAACTATACAAGAAAGAGATTAGGCCAAAGAGGTTGTGGAGAAGCTCAGTAAAGCATACCAAAGAATTCAGCAAGATGAATTTTCTGAGTGGAGAAGACTATATAGATGAATCTCTATGGATAGAAATCACAAGCTGAAAAAATATAAATATTTTAGATGAGCTATAGTACTGGCCTTCGGAACAAGGTAAGGGGGAAAAAGACAGAGAGAGAGAGAGTACAATGTAAGGACCAATCAAAGAGAAAGCAAAATCCAATAGACTCTAGAACACAGAAGAAGAGAGATGTTTCTAGACACTGGCCAGGTCTACACTAGAAACTTTTACCAATGTAATAATGTTAGTTAGAGATGAAGGGACTCTGCATATCTACTCTCCTGCCTCCAATTGTCTCATAGTCTCTTCACAGACCCACTGCCTTCCCTTCTTCTTGTGGTACCTCCAAGCTTACCATTGGCTTGGATGAACTAAGATAAGGTGGGACCAGGTAGCTGAGTAATGAAGAGATGTGCCCAGATGTAAAACAGAGATTTATGTAGTATTTGTGATACAAATTCAGGGATATTTGTTCAAGGGGTTCTTAAAATACTTCTTCCCCCAAAATGAGCTGATTATTATTTTCAAAGTATTCTGAAAAGCACGTGCATACAAAAATGCTTTTAAAAGTAATGAATTGTAAAAGGCATGAGGTAGACTTTGTAGTGAAATTTTAAAGAGTTTTGCACAGGGTGCTCCTCAGATACAGCACCACAAGTAAGGTTTCAGAGTGGTAGCCATGTTAGTCTGTATCCGCAAAAAGAACAGGAGTCCTTGTGGCACCTTAGAGACTAACAAATTTATTTGGGCTTAAGTTTTCGTGGGCTAGAACCCACTTCATCAGATGCATGAAGTGAAAAATACAGGAGCAGATATAAATACATGAAAGGATGGGGGTTGCTTTACCAAGTGCCACTTTTAGGTCTGTTATTTGCTTCAGGTAACCTACTTGCCTCCAGCTTTCATCCAGACCACATCACATGATCCATTGTCTACAGCCAAGCTCTAACATACAACCGCATTTGCTCCAATCCCTCAGACAGAGACAAATACTTACAGAAGCTCTATCAAGTGTTCTTAAAACTGCAATACCCACCTGGTGAAGTGAAGAAACAGATTGACAGAGCCAGAAGGGTACCGAGAAGTCAGCTACTATAAGACAGGCCCAACAAAGAAAGTAACAGAACGCCACTAGCCGTCACCTACAGCCCCCAACTAAAACCTCTCCTGAAGGACGATCCCTCACTCTCACAGACCTTGGGAGACAGGCCAGTCCTCGCCTACAGAGAGCCCCCCAACCTGAAACAAATACTCACCAGCAACACCACACCATACAACAAAAATACCAACCCAGGAACCAAACCCTGCTACAAACCCCGGTACCAACTCTGTCCACATATCTATTCAAGGGACACCATCATAGGACCTCACCACATCAGCCACACCATCTGGGGCTCGTTCACCTACCAATGTGATATATGCCATCATGTGCCAGCAATGCCCCTCTGCCATGTACATTGGCCAAACAGGACAGTATCTACACAAATGGACACAGATCTGACATCAGGAATCATAACATTCAAAAACCAGTAGGAGAACACTTCAATCTCTCTGATCACTCAATAACAGACCTCAAAGTGGCAATTCTTCAACAAAAAAACTTCCACAACAGACTCCAACGTGAAGCTGAAGAACTGGAATTAATTTGCAAACTGGATACAATCAGACTAGGCCTGAATAAAGACTGGGAGTGATTGGCTCATTACAAAACCTAAACTTAATTTCCCCAATACTATTTTCTCCCTACTGTTACTCACACCTTCTTGTCAACTGTCTGTAATGGTCCACTCTCTTACCACTTAAAAAGTTGTTTTTTCCTCCCTTGGTATCCTGCTGTTTATTCATTTAATCTCATTAGACTGACCTGACACTTGGCAAAGCAACCCCCATCCTTTCATGTATTTATACCTGCTCCTGTATTTTTCACTTCATGCATCTGATAAAGTGGGTTCTAGACCACAAAAGCTTAAGATCAAATAAATTTGTTAGTCTCTAAGGTGCCACAAGGACTTGTTGGCGTTGTTTTCACCACAAGTGAGGAGTATTCAGATTGCTTCATCCATCATAAGACAAGAAATGGTGAATATTAGATGAGAACACAAAAATATGTGCCTACTCAGCACTCTGCTTTCAGAAACAATACTTTCTAGATGCTATTGTTTTGTCAAAAGAATTTTCAATTTTAAATAAACCTCATACACAAATCTTGTGATTAGAGGAGCACAAGTTATGGTCTTACTACAGCTCCTTTCAATGTGAATGCACTGGCTTTTAAATGAGCCATTGTGTCATTTGGAGTAGTTTTCCAGTTACCAGAATATGGTGATGGAGTCAGGTTAATTGGCTGTCCTTGTGAATATGATAACACTCTTGGCGCTAATAGCACAGAGTTTGGTGACTTCAAAGAGTACCATCAGGTAGGCTTCACTGACTTCCTGCAGGCCCATAATGCAGTTGAAGGCTGCCCTGAAGAACTAGCTTATATGCCTGATTCTGCCACAGAGTTTCTATGGGATGCTTAGCACATCACTTAAAGAATTTTTGTTTTTTTCTCCCCACATTTATTATATGCTCCTTATATTCTAATTGTCCAACTTGTTACACCAGGGTTGTGATTTGCAGAAGTGCAGAGCTCACAGCTTCAACTGAAGTCCCTGAGAGCTGTGCTTTGAACAGATAAAGTGATATAGAATGCTAAACAATCTGAAAAATCAGGAGTCTCAAATTGTGTACCCAAAATTAGCGGACATGTTTGATCTTAATTTCTTTGTGACTTTTCCCGCATCTATTAAATACGTATGATACCATTCCTCATGTTAGAAGGGTGTTGTTAAAATAAATTCATTATTTTTTTGGTGAAGCAATCAAATAATATACTGATGAGCTCCATAGAAAAGCCTATGAGGAAATTAATAATTTTCTATTCAGAGCAAGCCTTGAATAGGGTGTAGTATATAAGGGCTAAGGCCATACAATTAACAATAAGAAGGGGGGAAATAGCTTCTAATTCATGAACACCAACCATAAGTGCACTGAAAGATGTTGGGGTCCTGTATGTAGTGGGGGAGTGGGGAGGTGGATGGGAATTGAATACTGTATCTGTCACTGTGCCTCAGTGGGTCACAGCTGAGAGTACTAGTTTCAGGACAAACTGCTGAGAAATAGGGCAGATTCACCCCAAATTTGTACTTATTCTATCATTAGATTTACCAAGACAGTAACAAAAGTAATCTTCTGTCTCTCCACATTGGGTACCAAGAAGTCAAAATCCAGTCTCCTTAGGCATTCCAGACTGTATTTCACCACCAAGACACTAGACTTTATGATGAGTGGTTGTTAAAAACCAACTTCATCAAACAAAGGGTTCTTCTGATCTCAAGAGATCAGACACATAATCAGGTCAGTATATAACTCAGATCTTACCCAATAATAACATTGTTGCCAATCCTTTAGTAATTAAAATCTAAAGGTTTATTTATAAAGAAAAGAAGAAGAGACTTTAAATGGTTAATAGATAATATACATACAATAATTTCAATATTCTTATATCAGGTTTGTAGCAGTGATGTTACAGACTCTGGTAACTACAAAAGAACTTCCATAGATTAGAATGTCTCTTTTAGTTGTAAATCCATAGTCCAGAGAACCAGAGCAGGAAAGAGGCAAGATGGAGATGTTTCCAGGGTCTTTTATATCCTTTGCCATGCACCTGGAGATTTTTTCTTTCAAAAAGAGCTCACAGTCTCAGTTTGTGGGAAGATATAGGCACAAGATGGAGTCCAGGGTCACATAAGCAAGTAACATGCCTTTACATGGCTTGCTGACTCACAGGGCAGCAATTACCCATATTCTGGCTGGGGTTGGATGTAAACTTGAATAGTCCATT